GGGACTCCTAGCTCTTTTTAGTACAGCTTTGGCTCTTTGAAAATTGTCTTCATGAGTTATCTTTATGTTTTATCAAATCTTTGCTGTGCTTTATTGAGATGCATCTCAAAAGGGTCTATTTCTGTATTTCTATCTGTAGGCTTTACGCAGTCCTGTCATAAGATATGGAGATGTCCTTTTTTTTTTTTTTTTTAAGATTTTATTAGAGAGCGAGCATGCTTGTAGTATGCATGAGTCGGGGGGAGGGGCAGAGAGGGAGAAGCAGACTCCCTGCTGTGCAGGGAGCCTGACTTGAGGCCCGATCCCAGGACCCTGTGATAATGACCTGAACTGAAGGCAGATGCTTAATTGACTGAGCCACCCAGGTGTGCCTGGAGATGTCCTTTTAAAAATGGGTATTATCTGCAGCATCGGTGTAGAGAAATGGGAGCGGGTGGGGAAATTGGCCATGATATGAGTCTCACAAAGTCCTACCTCCATGAGGAGCCAAGGGCCTGGGTGAACCACAACTTAGTAGGAAGCTCTTCAGTGCCGTCCTCTCTGACCGTGCAGGTTGGGACCCTGGATGTGAGTACCTTTCTGATAGGTCAGATCTGCTGTATTTTCCTGCCTGGCTATCCTTTTTCAGATTTTAAAAACGGTAGCCAGTTTCCTGCTTGGAGTAGGTGTTGAGTCATCATAGCCTGAACATGCCCCATGGTGATGAACGAAAGCCCCGTGGCTCACTCATGCACACATACACCACTTCTGACCATTCGTCTTTCCTTCGTTCTTGGGTTTATTTGCTCAGAAATATTTACTGAGCAGCCAGTGTGCGTCAGATGCTGTGCTGAGCAATAAAACGTCATGGGAAATAAGCCTGTGCCCTCCCAAGGATGTACTGAAGGGCACTGCCAAGGAAACCGAGCAATCCCAGGGCAGTGCTGGGTGTGAGGAGGCGGGCCGGCGTGGGGGCAGATCTGTGGGCTCCTGCCACCGCTCACCATCAGGTGATAGGGGACCATGCAGCATTCTTGATACTCCTGGACGGAGACCTATTGCCTGGAATCTTTGAAAATTCACCATGATTGGAAATAGAATCCTATTGTTAGAAATCGTAGGATCGAAACTGATGACTGCTGACAAACTGAACTTTCTGAGTAGCAGCTTTTATTGTCAAGACTTGTCAAGTGAGTTGCTCTTAACCTAGTTTCTTTAGATGCTACTCATTTTCAAAACAGATGAGGTATTGTTGTTGCAGTTCTGTATCAGCCTGTGTTCGCCAACCCAAGGAGCAATTTCCTGAAATGCTGTTTGCTTTTTTCTTTGTTTAGGATATTGGCCGAGTCACAGGACCTCCAATACTCAACCCCATAGCTAATGAAGTTTACTTGAATTTTGAAAGTAGTACTCCTTGCTTAGCGGACAAGCATTTCAACTACACCTCACTGATCGCATTTCACTGTAGGAGAGGTGTGAGCATGGTAAGTGTGCACCTGTTCACAGTCTGGGGGCTGAAGCCTGGTTTAGTGAGCCAGAGCTGCAGGCTCAGAAAGCATGCTTCAGGCGTAAGGATGCCCGTATTGAAAATGGATGCAATCATATGGTGTGTCAGTGGTGCATTGAATAATTTAAAACCATTAATTTTTTTTAAAGATTTTATTTATTTGAGAGCACGAGAGAGAGCGAGCATGCACATAAGCGGGGGAGGGCTCGGGGGGGAGGGGGAAGCAGGCCCCCCACTGAGCAGGGAGCCTGATGCGGGGCCTGATCCCAGGACCTTGGGATCATGACCTGAGCCGAAGGTAGATGCTTAACTGATTGAGTCACCCAGGTGCCCCTAAAACCATTAATTTAACAATGAGTAAGCCCACACTGAATTAATGGGGCGGACTTTGCACGGCGAGGCTTGCTGTAATTTAAAAACGTGAAACACTTAAGCATAGGAGTAGTTTTCAATGTGTACCAATGTATAGAAGTGTCAGCTTTTTCCTTTTTTGAAACTATAGCATTAGTGATTTTATTCTTATTGGTAACTCAGACTTTTGGCAGCTATCATTGTTCAGGATATAACCCAAAATTTAGAAGTTAGCGAACAAAAGAAGGCCTCTCCGGAATCAAAATAGCTCTAACAGAGTTGCGTATGTTCCTTCTAAGGAGGTTATCAACTTCTGTTTTAAGTGCATTTAAAAATAACATGGCTTCCATCATGAGTGTCATTCTGTTCCACAGAGTTTCTGCATACGTTCTCTCTGTGAATAGGAGATGAATGGGTAGGTTGTGGTCCCCATTTCACAGGGACTCAGAGGTGCTGGGTGCCGTACCTGACTCATGCAGCTCTGCAGTGGCCGCCGGGACTCCCCCTTCTCAGCTGGCGAGCTCTTTGCTCCAAGCAGCCCAGCTTCACAGCGCGGAGTCTATGCTTCTGAAATCTGTAACACTCTGAAAACTCAGTCCTCTGACATGAGTGATGGAGGCTACTCATGGTATTTGTCCCACTTGATAAGAATATTCATACATTTGGCTACAGAAACATGAGTGTGCTTGACTGTAGGACTGTGTGGGTGTGGGTGTGTGTGGGTGTGCGTGCGTGAGAGAGAGAGAGAGAGGTGATAGAAATATGTGCCTCTTAAAATCCTGAAGATGATGAACTGTAAGGCTCATCTGGCCCTAGGAGCTCAGGTAACGGGTTTCGGTTCTAGAATGTGTCTTGTGGATTCCCTAGGCTGACTTTCTGGTTTGTTGGCCTGTAGCAGGTCTGTCAGGGAAAGGGAGCTCTAGCTGCCCGGCAGTGGTGGGAAGTGACGTGGCAGCAGCCTGGGGAGAGGAGGGACAGGGGAAGACACAGACCATCGCTGCCTGGGCCCTCCCCATCTAGTGGCTCACCCCACCTCAGGGCCCTTGGACACGTCCCTGTTCACAGATAGTCCGTTGGCCCTCAGGATAATCCTGAGTTACCAGGGGGGCAGAGCTGTGATCAGCGAACTCCTTTTATCTCTGGGTGTGTGTCTGCATGTTTGTGCAGTTTGTCCACCCGGCGGCCATCGGCACACACAGCCTAAGGCAGCGTGGCTTAATCTGTAGAAAGGCTGCCACGTTCAGTAGTTCACTCTTCAGAGGGGTTCTTTTGAAGACCCACCTCCCGAGGAGCGCCGGTTATCTCAGCCTCCCACATGGAGAGCGTGTAACGGCCTAGCTGGGAAACTGCTAACCCCACATGGTGGGCCGTCCACGGGTGGGCCGGAGTCTCGGGGCAGCAGTGTCTTGTTCAAAGTGAGCAGTGTTCACTGGCTTTCAGATACCGGGCACCTCACACGAAGTGTGCGCTCAAGGTTGGAAAGATTTTAAAGAGATTTTCTGCCCCTGTGGTTTTTACCTTTAGTGGGAATACTTTTCCACTGAAGTTTATGGAAAAACCGATTCTCAGCAGCAACTAAAAATGAAATTCCTGACCAGCTGCCCGTCTGTGCTGTTGCTGAGCAAGGGGGGCATAAGCATGCTGGTGCGGGCTCCGTGGCCTGCGTGCAGTCTGGCCGAGTGGTGTGTGGGCCTCGTCCGGGGTGGCCTCAGTTTGTAGCAGCGGGGTGGAGACACTCCCGGCGAGCGTCCCAGAGTGCTCGGCTCCCTCCTCTGCCTTGGCAGGGCCTCACTTTCATACCCTGCTCACGTTTAAAGAACTGGTAGTGTGGACATGGGGACTTTGTCTAAACGCAGGGCCACGTCCTGGAGGTCGCGAGAGGCTCCAGGTATGTGGGCAGGGCCATCCTGGTTCCTTGCAGGGTGGTGCCCCTGCCCCTCCTTCCTGGAGGGGGGCCACTGCGGGTCACCCAGAGCACCTGGCAGCCTCCCAGCCACGGCCACAGCCCCGGAAGCGGGGGTCTCTCTGGTGCCAGCTGGGGGAGGAGAGCTGTGTGAGGATGCTGTACTTGACCCATGTGGGTTTTCTTTTGAACAGGGAGCTCCCATGCTGCTGAGGACCAGTGACTGCGACTTTGTGTTTGGGTGGGAGACCCCACTGGTCTGTCCAGACGAAGTGAAGGTGGACGGCTGCTCCCTGACGGACGAGCAGCTGCATTACAGCTTTAACCTGTCCAGCCTTTCCAAAAGCACTTTCAAGGTAATGCTGCTCAGCTGGAGCCCGCTGATCTTGGGGGCACAGCGGCCCGGGTTCTTTGTGATACCTTCTTGTGTTGTAGGTGATGGGGCACATGTGACCACTGAGGCACAGTGCACGGAGGGGTAATGGGCTTAGTCTCCGCCCTGGACACACAGGATCAACTTGTTGGGGATTCTAGACTGTGTAGCGAACAAGGCCCAGCTAACGCCTGAGTTGTGCGCCACGGCTCAGAGTTTAGCTCCATAGGGCTTTGTGAGGATTAAATGATACAACGGAGGTCAGGAGTCTGCTTGGGGACGTGCATGTGACCACCGTGTATCCCATAAGGGCAGGGCCAGGTCTGGTACACCCAGAAGAGGCTGTGAGTCATTCCCTTGTGTCTCCTGCCAGCCTGACTTCAAGATGCAGATGCAGCTCTTTTGCTGACCACAGAGGTAATGGATAGAGGCAGCTAGGATGTTCCTCTGACTTGAGATACATTTGTGTGTGTGTTGGGGGGGAGCTTATCTGGCCTGTGTGTCATGGGCTGTTTGTGATATCGATGAGGCCGTGGGCATCTTGAGTCACTGGGGTTTGGGGACCCTCCACCTGGGGGCCTGTGATCTAGATGTTACTGAGTTATGCACCTTGGACCATGCCACCAGATCCCAGCACCTCCCAGGGGATGGTAGCTGGGGAGTAGTGAGCCCCGAGGCCCGTGCCCTGGCTCCTGTGATAGAGACCTTGCACAGGTGGGACTGGTGTGCTGCAGGTGTGAGCCTGCAGAGGGTGGGGACAGCAAGGAAGGCGACGTACGTGCTCAGCGATGCTGTGTCTGCTTCCCGCTCATCAGCTCTGTCCTCAGCACTCCTGCGTCACAGGTGGGGAACCCGGGCTTCAGGAAGGTGGAGGAGCAGCCCGAGGTCTGACAGCCGGCTCCCCGCCAGGGGCCTGGGGGTGGACGGAGGGAAGTGCCCAGACGGTGGGTCAGGCATTGCCCTCTGGAGGAAGGTCAGGAGTGGAGAGGAGGAAGGGAGCACTGAGGCAGCCGTGCACAGCCCGCAGGCAGCCCCTGCTTTCCGGCACGAGCGACGGCTCTCCCCACCTGAAGACCCACTGACGCCCACGCGTGTTCTTGTCTGTCCAGGTGACTCGAGACTCACGCACCTACAGTGTAGGGGTATGCACCGCGGCGGCAGGCCTGGATGAAGGAGGCTGTAAGGACGGCGGTGTCTGCCTGCTTTCCAGGAACAAGGGGGCATCTTTTGGGCGGCTGGCATCGATGAGACTGGATTACAGGCACCAGGATGAAGCTGTCATTTTAAGTTATGCCAACGGAGATAATTGTCCTCCAGGTAAATCTTTGTAGCAGGGTGTGTTTTATGTTGTGGGGAGTGTGGTGTTAGACCCGGCCACGGGAGGAAACTGAGGCATGGAGCTCCGGATGCTGTGAATGCGGACACCTGGCTCGGACCACATGGCGTTCCACCCACACAGCCCTGAGTGTGAGTGCTCTGGCCTCGGGCTCATGCTGGTCTGTGAGCCTCTTGTCATGTTGGGACGCAGAGGCCAGCGGTCCTGATGTCGGCTTAGGGTGGTGGCTTTCATAAACATAAGGGGTCCTTGGGAGCGTTCCCAGGTGATCGTGCGCGGCAGCGAAAGCACAGCTGAGGTGCTGGTAATCAGGGTCACGCGGATGATGTTCTTTTTTCCAGAAACTGAGGAGGGTGACCCCTGTGTGTTCCCCTTCATATTCAATGGGAAGAGCTACGAGGAGTGTGTTCTGGAGGGCAGGGCGAGGCTCTGGTGCTCCACCACGGCCAACTACGACAGAGACCGCGAGTGGGGCTTCTGCAGACACTGTACGTAGCGGAGCACGCGTCGGGCTCGGGCTGCCGCTTGGCCGGCGTCCTCCCCAGGCTGGCTTCGTGCTCAGACCTCTGTGGCTGTCCGAGTTAATCCTGTCGCATGTCGTTTTTCCATGTCACGCTTGTTTTGCATAAAGAGAGGACATCTCAAATGGCTCATGGGATGTGTCACGTGACTGGGTACCTAGGCTGAAGTAGGACAGGGCTGACAGGCCGGTGCCAGGTGGTCAGCGGGGCCCCTTCTCTAACCCGGGCGGTGGGTGTCCTCGTGCCGGCGCTGCTGACGGCCGCTCGCGCCTGTGCGGAGTCCTGCTGGTCACGGGCCTGCGTCGGCAGAAGAGCGGTGGGCTCACCCGCCGGCTCTCAGCCGTGCGGCGGGCATGGGGCAGGGCTGGGGCTTCAGGCTGAGCCGGGCCGCTCACGGGCGGCACAAACGGGCGTGAGTGCTCGAGGGACGTGATGAGGAGATACACAAAAAACGACTTAATTCTTGTAAATGCTCAGGGAGCGAGAGGGTATAAAGAAATTCTAAGTGTTAAATTTGCAGGGGCCTATTATAGTTTTGTTTTGAGGCTTATTATGATAGGACCTTTCTCCTGGTCTGGTGGACAGCACTCACGTTTTAGGTAATTACAGGTACCTGTTGCTGTTTTTATTTCTTATCCTCATTCACATGTGACCAAATGTTGGATACCGTCCACGGGGGATTGAGCTAGTGCCGTGGGGTCATTAAGCACAGGAGGAGGCAGACACAGGGCCCTGGGGGGGCCTTGGTCTGTTTCGGGCCGGGGGACACGTGAAGGAGACGGCGCAGCTCTGGCGGGGGTGCGGGGGCAGTGGCGGGTGGAGGCGCTGAGCGCAGCGGAGCGGGCGGGTGGGGGGAACGTGAGGGGCCGGCGGGGGGCCAGGCTGCCGTCTGAGTTTTCTGCATGCTGCTCCCCAGCAAACAGCCACCGGATGTCTGCAATTATCTTCAAGTGCGACGAGGAGGCTGATATCGGGAGGCCACAGGTCTTCAGTGAAGTTCGTGGCTGTGAGGTGACATTTGAGTGGAAAACAAAAGTTGTCTGCCCTCCAAAGAAGATGGAGTGCAAATTCATCCAGAAGCACAAAACCTACGACTTACGGCTGTTGTCTTCACTCACCGGGTCTTGGTTCTTTGTCCATGAAGGAGACTCGTGAGTACCTATCACCACGTGCCAGCCGTGTCCTTCTCGGGCCTGATGGTGGTGGGCTCTTGGCGGTCCGCTTCCATGTCCCTGCAGAGCTGGGGCTGCCACGTAAAGCCGGTGCTTGGGTGGCTCGAGAGCCCCTCACGGTGCCAGACCTGGTGCCCGGGGCTGGGTTTGAAGGCAGAGCTGGACAGAAAGGGAGCCTTTGGAACCAGGAGCTGGCGATCCGCATGCGATAGAATGAGTCTCGATGAGTGTTGTGCTTGTGAGGGGCTTCTGTCTGCTGCTGAGTGTGTGTGTGTGGGGGGGTGCGTTGATTTTCTCAGCTCTTTGGCACCCACCCCGTGGGCTGTGTGGGTCTGAGATTTGTGGCCTGTGGCGGCCGCTCCATGTCTCTGCCAGGGGCCCTCAGACCAGGAAGGCCTCAGCGTGTGGTGGGGGTGTGCACTTGGAGGCCTTCGGTCCTAAGGTCAGCAGCTCGCTGGGATTGGAGCCGCTGCAGATCCCAACCCAGCAGCCCTCCTAAACCACACCGTCTCAGGGTTCACCCCCACCTGCCTGGGTGCCATGCCCCCTTTTTCAGGAAGCAGCCACTCCCGGGGCCTTTACTGGAAAATCTGTTTTGGTGCTGCGTTCTGAGGTGCCGTGGGGCACTTGGGGACCAGCATGGTTCCTGTTTCTGAAAGGGAGGGGCAGAGAGCTGCACCCCAGTGCGCAGGGCAGACTGGCCTTGCACCCTGCTCCTCCACTTCTCTGTGTTGTTTCACAGGTACTATATAAATCTCTGCCAGAAAATATATAAAGGGCCTCTCGACTGCTCTGACAGAGCCAGCATTTGCAAAAAGAGTGCATCTGGTGTCGTCCAGGTCTTGGGGCTTGTTCACACACAGAGGCTGGACGTCTTAGGTAAGGCCCTGGGTCCTTGTTGTGCATGCTTACGGTGTTGCATCGCAGTTGGGAAGGTGAGGGCGTCCTCATGGCCAGGAGGGTCAGCACTGGCTTGAGCTGAAACCGCCAGATACCATTCCTTATGACTGTTTCTCAAGCATTTTGGTAATTCCTGGAACATTAGAGTAAGTACCACTTTGTATTCCCAGAGATGGCAGGTCCTAGCAGGTGTATGTAGGGGGGTCATCTCTCCTGGAAACGTACTTCTACCCTGAGAGGGTCACAGTGGTTAAGATTCCTCTGAATCCTTGCTCCAGCTCTGGATTGAGTGCCGGAGTCTGCATGTTATATGTACCAGCATTTATTCAGGAAAGCTGAACAGTTACGCAAGAACTTGGTAAAGATAATTCAGGGGTATGTTTTTGTAATGTCTTAACAATTAAGAAAATACTGAAGCTCTTTTTAATAGTGTTAGTAGAAAATTCATGTTGCAATGGGTTGTTGAGTGAAAGATTCTATATTTGAGAGAGAGCGAGAGTACGGGAGAGCACGAGCTTGGCAGGGATGGGGAGAGGGAGAAGGAGAAAGAGAATCTTTAGCAGGCTCCATGCCCAGTGCAGAGCCCGACGCGGGGCTCCATCTCACGACTCTGAGATCACGACCTGAACCGAAATCTAGAGTCAGACACTTAACCTACTGAGTCACCAAGGCGCCCCTGTCTTTCATTATTTAAAAGGTAGGTCTTTCTTAGATAGGAATAACTGGGATATGTTCGGAGGAACCAGTAAAGAAAAACACCTTTACCTTGTTGGAGTAGAGTGGGGTCCCCGAGTTGTCCTGATTAAACCACGGGTGACTTGAGTCTGCTTGAGCTCTTGGAAGGGAGACAGGGAATTCCGAGGGACCACTGTCACTGTGGATGAGAGGCGCACCAGATGGTAGGGTCGCCTGGAGCGGCCTCCCAGCCCGCCATCCACCGCTGTTCCCACACGGCTCACGACGAGGGGTGAGGGTGGCTCTCTGCTCTGCAGTCTCGTGGTTGTGTACAGATACTGGATCAGCCCTTCCCCCGGCTGCCCACAGCCAGCTGAAAGAGGTTTGCAGGGTGAAGGCCTCACGGAAGGTTCGGCTAGCAGGGTCCCCAACGCACCCGGGGCCTTACTCCTCGGCCCCAACAGGACGGCTGTCCAAGGACAGACACCGTGACCCACATGCTCAGGAAGGGCTGCAGCCATGTGGGGTGGAGAGATGGACTGTCTGTTCCAGGAAGTCACGTTTATCTACAGCTGTGCTTTCGGCCTGTGCAATCCTCACAGCTCTGTGGGGGTGGGCTTGGGGTTAGAGTCCATGTCCCAGGTTGGGCAACGAGCTGGGGAAGGTCGAGTGTATTGCCCGGGAGTGGAGGGTGTCTACAGTAAGACCTGCGTTGGTTTGTTTCCCATGCCCCGGCAGTTTAAGAATTTCTCTTTAAAGCAGTAGAATTCTGTCTTCCAAAATTTTGCACAGGAGCCTGATATGTAATTTATCCGGTACAGCTTTGAATTTGGGCAGGGCTGAGGGCCTGGGCCTTTGGCAGAGCAGTCCCCTACGCCTTGGCCTGTGTCCCGGGAAGAACAGGTGGGAAGCTGGTACCAAGGCCTGTGTCCCCCCTGCCCCCCCGGGTCTCGGGGGTGTGAGAGTCGGGGGCTGCAGGGTGGGCGCTGCTCCCGAGGCCCCCGCCCTGTGCCGCTGAGCCAGCGTGGGCTTGGGCTCCCCCAGGACGGCTCCGGGCGGCCACACACAGCAGCTGGAAGCGGCAGCAGCGTTGAGCTGGCCGCCACACTGGCTCCCAAGTGGCCACTGTGAGCAAGTGCTCACCTCTTAGACCCTGCAGGTCAGGGTCTTAGCTGTCTCTTCTCTGTGATATTTTTGGAAGTGGAAAAGTTGGATGCAGAGCTGGGAGACCTGAGAAATCCAGAGTTGTTCTGCTTTTGGTTTTTCTCTTTGTAGTTTGGAGGTCTAGCTCCTGCCCTGTTACTCCTGGGATGTTCCGAGCGGGGTGGGGGGGGGGGAGAGGATGTGTTGGGAAAGCACCTAAAATGACCCTGGAATCCTAAAAACTGGAGCAGCTGTGACAGCTGCCGTTAGGCGAGGTTCTCTGTGTGCCCATCGTGCCGGGCTCGTGGCAGACGCTCTGGGCGGTATTCCTCCCGCACAGGTGAGGCGACAGGCTCAGATGCTCAGCAGCCCCGAGTCAGGCAGCTGGTGAGCAGGAGGGGCTGGGATTGGAACCCAGGTCTTCCCCAGCCGTGCAAGGTGTGGTACGGACCTGGAGGCGGTCACCAAGCTTGGCATGCTGAGAACCCAAGACTGAAGACTTAGGAGTCTTGAGAGAGCCGAACATTTGTTCTGTCTTGGCTTTTAACATTCTGACGCCGAAGCTTTTTTTATAACCACAAATCCATCCTTCGTGTGTTTCAGATGACAAAGTCATCGTAACTTATTCAAAAGGTTATCAGTGTGGGGAGAATAAGACGGCATCTGCCGTCATAGAGTTGACCTGTGCGAAGACCGTGGGCAGACCTTCATTCATGAGGTAAGAGGGTTGGGGCCTGCACAGGGAGCTGTGGAGAGCAGGGACTGGGGGCTCACCAGCATCTCTCCCCCCCGGTTTTCATTTCAGGTGTGCGGACGGGTGTGCAGGGAGAGGGTGTTTGTGCAGCCACTGAGACTTGGGGCCTGGTGAGGGGGCCGGGCCTGTTAATTGATCTAGAGTGTGCGGGGCTGCTCCGCACAGGGAGGGATTTCCTGGAAAAGGGGCCGGATACACGGTCACTTGGCTAAAGCGACAATGTCAAGTGATGTTTCACCGGCCTCTGCCTTCGACATCATTGTAGAACCAAAGGGGCAGCGGTTGGTGCCACCCAAGGCCAGCTGTTCAAGCAGCCTGAGACCCCCCCCAAGCAGGTGGGGCTGGCACCTGGGGTGCTCTTGGGTCACCCTAGAATTTTCTAGGCAACTCTGCATCTAGTGCTAGGAGGAGTTTGGCCAACAGAGGGAGCATACGAGTGCTGTTTCCCAACCAGTGATTCTTCCAGAAGCTGGGCTGGAATTTCTGGGGAGACCTGGGAATTGTCTGAGGATTTAAATCAATGTAGGAGTCAGAAAAGCTTATAAAATAAAGTTCAAAAATTTGGGAGCAAATTTTTCCAGCTTTTAGATGTTGCACTGTTTTTCTTTTTTTTTTTTTTTTGAAGATTTTATTTATTTGAGAGAGAGAGAGAGAGAGGGGCGGGGGCTGGGAGAAGCAGACTCCCCACTGAGCAGAGTCTGACACAGGGCTCCATCCCAGGACACCGGGATCATGACCTGAGCCGAAGGCAGATGCTCAACTGACTGAGCCACCCAGGCGCCCCTAGATGTCGCACAGTTTCTTAATTAAAAGCAAAACAAAGCGAAACTGTGTTGAACAGTTTGCCTGCTTTTTCACATTGCTGATGTGCTAGACCATCACCTTCCCTATTACACTGTTGAGAAAAGTCAGTAACAGCCATTCCAGCCAGAGTGGCCAGTGCCCACTGTGGGGGTGGCGAGGGCTCGGCGGTGGGGGGGCTTCCGTGGGGACCCAGGGCTCGGCCCGCATGGAGCCCTGAAAGCCAGGCTTCCAGGCGCAAGAGGCTCCGTGCGGCCGCGGCCCCGCGCCGCCCCGAGCCCGGCTGGCTGTGACCGCGGTCCTCGCTCGCTCCCTCCAGGTTCGACATCGACAGCTGCACGTACTACTTCAGCTGGGACTCCCGGGCTGCTTGTGCTGTGAAGCCGCAGGAGGTGCAGATGGTGAACGGCACCATCACCAACCCTATAAACGGCAAGAGCTTCAGCCTCGGAGATATTTATTTTAAGTAAGTGGAACATTTTCCTTTCGAGCACTGAAATGTATTCAAAATGAAGCCAGCAATTTAGACCTTTCCCTAATGGGGCGGGGGGGCTGCAAGATGATAAATAGGCAGTGTGTTTTAGTTACTGTTTCTAGGTGGTTGTCATATTTTGCTTAAACCGAGGGAAAGCATTACTCAACCATGAAGTTTTAACACCAAAGATGGTGAATTCTCTTGAGTGTAAAAATAAAGTCTCCCCTCCTCCTCCCCTTCCTGATAATCTCGGGGGTCGGCTGCCGGACCTCAGGGACCGGCCAGAGCTGCTGGCCGCACCCAGGGCAGGCTGGGGTGAGCCCAGAGCGGGACACCACTCAGAGTGCAGGCTGGGGACGCAGGAAGACGATGGGGTGGAAGTTGGTGCCCTCGGGCGTCCTCACGGGCTCCCAGGCCGGCAGAGCCGGAGAAGGGCCGTGGCCTGCAGCCCTGGGGTTCCCGGGTGTTTGAGTCCCTCGTAAATGGGTTTCTGGAAGGACTAGAGTCACTGCCATCTTTTCTGTCTCTTCAGGCTGTTCAGTGCCTCTGGGGACATGAGAACAAATGGGGACAAGTACCTGTATGAAATCCAGCTTTCCTCCATCACAAGCTCCAGAAATCCGGCATGCTCGGGGGCCAACATATGCCAGGTTAAACCAAACGACCAACACTTCAGTAGGAAAGTTGGAACTTCTGACAAAACCAAATACTACGTTCAAGGTAATTGCTTTCCGTCAGTGTTCCGTGTTCAGCTTCTTCAAAGGAGGGACGTTAGAATTTTCATGAAGAAACCCTTCCGTTGAAATCCCCGATTTGAAAGCAGAAGCCCGGTCTGTCTGTGTCTTGATACGCAGTCGTCAAAATGATTGAACAGTGTGTGTGAGACGAGCATTTCACTGTAGGAGAAAGTCACCTCAGTTCCAGATGAACACCTGAAAACCAAAACTTGGTTTCAACCCGAGGTTGTGCAGTGGGGGTGAAGCAGAAGATAAAGTGTGCGTGTCCAAGAATTGCCTTCGATTTTGTTTTGTCATGTTGGTTCTTTACTTGGCAACTTCAGATATTTTTACAGTAGAGTAAGACATTTTACATTTGTCAAAAGGTTGAAAAGAAAGGCTAGACACCCTTTAAAAAGTTAAATGTGTTTAAAAACCCAGCCGGCTCTGTTGTAAAAAGGGCTCCTAGAGATTCCCCGAGAGGAGAAGCAGCTGCTCCCCGAGTGGTAGGAGCCCAGACGTCCGTGCGTTCACGCGCAGACGCTGAGCGTCAGGTCAGCCTGATTTGCTGTCAGGATTCCACATTATGGAGTAAACTCCTGTGGTTCTCTGTTCTTTTCCAGTAATTCCGAGTTGGATTCACTCGGGTCACACCTGCACGTGCATTTATTTATTCGTCGTTCTTTAAACTCCTTTCAGACCTTTTCACTTTCAGTATTCACCAACGCTAGAAAGTCGGTTTAGTATTAAGACCACTTTTTGCATTTCGTGAAAAAATCAGTTTAAATCTCTTCCCAAGTCTCCACTCATTCCAGAGGGCAAGAGTAGGAAGCCACGGAGCCCCGTCTGGCTGCGATTCGGCTCCCCCATCAGCTCGGGGATGTGCGCCCACATGCCAGCCTGGCGGGTGGTCCATTTGGGTCACGCCTCAGCCAGTTGTGAGTGAGAACTCGTGGGGCCTTCCTGAGTCCAGCCGTGGGGCTTGGGGCTCGGGCTCCCTTTGGTTCGTGAACGTGGCCGCTTCATGCACTGAACGCCCTAGCCCCGTAGCAGTGGCTGACTGTGAACTTCCAGCCGCCTGCGGAGTTTGGAGAGGGCAACGTCTGCACACAGCTCCGTCACTTCTGACACCAGCTGCAGGTTTCAGGGAGGTTCTGTCACCACCCTGAGGTTTGATCATTTGTTAGGACTCAGGACTCATTTGTGCTGTTACAGTCACGGTTAAGGATAGAAATTGGCCAAGGGAAAAAAGCACATAGGATGGCGTCCAGAAGGGAGCAGGATGCTTCCATCATGCTCTTCCTGCGGCCTGAGGATGGGTTCCATTCCCAGCACCAGTGTGTGACGATATGCACGGAGTCTCGCCAGCCAGGGGAGCGCACCGAGCCCCCAGCATCCCGGGCTCCGTGTGGAGGCTTGTTTAGTTGGTTGACTGGCTGGTTGCCCACTGGGTCCATTTCCGTCTACGGAGGCGCTGATACGCGTGGCCAGTCCTGTTCTGAATCCTGCTGTTAGCTGAGGACGGAGCCAGACCTCTTCTGGGGCAAGGCTCAAGACTTCCCTGCTCCCTGATGTGAGGCAGGGGCTCCGTAATGTGTGTCGGGCGGCCTGTGAAGAAGCGTGCATGTGGGACCTTTGAAGAAGGCCCTTTACCATGATTTTAAGTGTGTGCAAACTTTTTACAGACCGTGGAAAGATACACTCGGCCCTTTATTGAAAAGTTGATGGTAACGTGGCCTGTACTGCGTCTTCCTTTCTGGCAGATGGTGATCTAGATGTGGTGTTTGCCTCATCCTCTAAGTGTGGAAAAGATAAGACGAAGTCTGTGTCTTCCACCATCTTCTTCCACTGCGACCCTTTGGTGAAGGACGGGATCCCCGAGTTCAGCCACGAGACTGCTGACTGCCAGTACCTGTTCTCCTGGTACACCTCTGCCGTGTGTCCTCTGGGGTGAGTGCGCTGGCCCGGCCTGGGCCGGAGCTTCCTGTCGGCCGCTTTCTGCCCGGGACGCACGCTTCCCAGCTGTACCCCCAACCTGCTCCCTCAGGACTTAGCTCAAGCATGTGTTTGTATGTGTTCTCTGCCCCCAGTGTTGTCTTGTGGGAACATCCCAGTGTGTCCGAGAGCCAGAGAGGCAAACCCCATGTAGCCGGCATCCGGCTTCAGTGGCTGTCCAAGTCTTGCCCTTCCTGGCCCCCCACGCCCCCATCACCACCGTCCGCCACTCCCAGTGCATTGGCCGTCCGCCTGCATGCACGCTCGAGGCCTGAGCGCCCCCACTTTCTTTCCCGGCCTTCCCCAGCCGGCATTTCCCCTCACTGGCTCACCAGAAGTGGCCGCTCTGTCTCATCTTTGTGTTCCAGCACGGTTTTCCGTGTGTTCTAGTGCAGATTATCACGTGGTAAATGTTACTTTAACTTGAACGATGTATTGTGTGTGTTTGAAGGAATGAAAACTTGTTCTACAGATTTTGAAAATCAGCTACAGGCCAGGTTTTCATGGGAAGTGTGCGTTTCTGTGCTGAGGGCTTTCTGGTGAGGGAAGGGCCATCTGGGCCTCCGTGTGGCCACAGGGAACCTACCTCTTCTCGGACCCCACAGCCTTCGTCCCTCTGCCTAGGTCATGGCCGTGTTTGGAGGCCCTCATCTGGAACACAGTGTTACATGTTGCTCGCCTCTTGTATTTGCTTTCTTCCTGTTTCATCCACGTCAGGTTCTTATAGGAGCTTCTCGTTCTCTGTGCTGAGACTGAGATCAGGAGGAAAAGTTCTTCCCTTGCAGTTGTTGGCTTTGTGTCCCGGAGAAGGGTGTCTCTGCAGTCCGTAGAAACCGTGCTAGGGACAGTGGGGGAGTTCCAGATGCCATCTGTCAGATCTTAAATCAGTATTCACTTTTAAAAAGAGTACACTTCGTCCTGTATTTTCCGGGAACATGGATGTAAGGCAAGTCTTAGCAAATTTCTAAATGTGGGTGCTGTATAAACAACACACACGGTGCAATTAAGTTAAGGACCAGTAACAAGAAACTAACTGAAAAATAGAAACCCATTTGGACACTAAAGCACACTTAAGAATAATTCCTGGCTCACCGGGGAGCCCAGAACTAGAAACGAGAGCACACTTAGAAGTGAGTGATGTCGTGCAGACGATGCCCCCGCTGGTCCCGGCTTTCAGGGCAGGGCGTGCGGGGCTGGCCGATGTGCGCCTCGTGGGGCTGTCCCCGCCCGAGCACACAGTGACTGGGAACGCTGAGCTCCTCCTCCTCATGGTTCCAAACCAGATCGCTTGGTTCCAGCTGAATTTTTTTTTTTTTTAAGATTTTATTTATTTATTTGACAGAGACACAGCGAGAGAGGGAACACAAGAAGGGGGAGTGGGAGAGGGAGAAGCAGGCTTCCCGCTGAGCAGGGAGCCTGATGCGGGGCTCGATCCCAGGACCCTGGGCCCATGGCCTGAGACGGGCTGAATTTTGATCAGTGTGGTTATCCTTATGTGGTCGGGCCGTCAGCTGCCCTCTGACCCAGCTCGAACCGAGTGGTTTTCTGAATTTGTAGCATCTTTAGCATCCAGTTCATTGCGTGTGTGTGGCCTGTCGCAGTGCCCTCTCTCCTCCCGAGCAGCCCGGATGGCCCCTGTCACTTTGCTCTCTGCTTTCTCGGGGTGGGGAAGAATTGGCGGTAGTGGGTTCTGTCGGCACAGGCGTGAGGGCCCGAGGGTTCGGAAGTGTCGAGTCATTCCACAAAGGTCTGGTTCTCTGAGCAGAAAGGGAAGTCCGTCCTGGTGCTTCTGGTCTTATATTAGTTAAGTTTACTGTTTCCGTTGAATGGTTAAGGTCCTGGAAATATACTGCTGTTCACCACATGTGGGTGGGAGTGGTGAAATCTTAGCTGGTTGAAGAGCGGCCGTGTTGGTCACCAGCCCTGCCTCCCAGGACAAGCAGCCTGGACAGACTGTCTGTGTCGCGCCCCGCGGTGACCTGGGGGGGTGTCCCTCAAACCCCGCCCCCCCCCGGCGCACTGACGCCGTGTCCCAAGACAAGATGCAGTGAGGGAGAAGCCTTCCCTGGGCGGCGGTCACCGTTTGGCCCCAGAGAGGAGAGCTGTGGTCCTGGCAGACCAGTGGGGCCAGCTCGTCCCTCTCGGCCACCTCATAGCTGACGGCCGCCCGGGGGGATGAGCCGGGGCTGAGGCTGCGGTCCCGCGTCGCCGCCTTTGGCCTGTGCGCCGTACTCTTGCCTGACCTCACTGTCCGAGGACTTGGTCCCCCGCCGGTCTGCACATCCCGGCCTGGGGCCGGCGAGGGTCGCCGCCGTGGTGGCATGTGCCTGAGTGAGGTGGCTTCCTTTCAGGGTGGGCCTCGACGGTGACAGCGCGGGCGAGGACACGCCGGAGCACAGGGGGCTGTCGGAGCGAAGCCAGGCCGTTGGGGCGGTCCTCAGCCTGCTGCTGGTGGCGCTCACTGGCTGTCTGCTGACCCTGCTGCTCTACAAGAAGGAACGGAGGTGAGGGGAGCGAGGCCGCTGGGCCACCAGGATCTGTGCTTGTGCGTGCGTGTGTGTGTGTGTGAGAGAGAGAACGGTATGGACGCGGTCTCCGGGGTTGTGTTCCGTACATAGCTGTGTTCCTGTGACAAGGTGTCGTGTCGGACCGGCGCCCCGGGGCCCGTCCCAGGCGTGTGAGTCCGTTCCTAGGACGTTGGTCTTTGGTTGTGTCCAGAGATGGACAGAAAATGAACACGTTTCATGAGCAGATGATCAGCTGAGCCCTCTACACTATCCTCCCCTTGCAAAAGTGAGCATTTACGAGATGCCTGCTGTAGGATGCCATCCTCTGGGCTCGTCCCCACACGTGGCTGTCCCTCCAGGAGATTGCCATGTCATGCATGAGTGAAGCTGAAGCCCCGAGCCCAGGAGCCCTGTGGTGTGGCCGGAGCCGGCGTCCAGAGTCCTGAGTGCGGCCATCCCACCCCAGAGAGGCTGGCACGGGAACGAAGAATCAGGGCAGAAGGGCTGGGTACGAGCTGGTCTTGGGTTAGTCGTTCGGCACACACAATCCCAGTGCAGCCTGGGGTGGCGGGGACGTGTGGCCTTATGGTCACATGGGACAGCGGAAGCACAACTGTTAGGTAACTTGCTCTTGCCTTTGCTAGACCACTCGGGGGGGCAGGTTTCAGATCCACTTCTGTCTAATTCCAGAGTGTTCTTTTCACTGAACTGGTTTATCGCCCCTCTGCCATGGGCTTCCCGTGCCCGGGCCGTGCAGGGCTGTGTCGTGGGGGCTGCAGGCGTCTCTGTCGGTGGGCGCTCGAGCTGTGGGGCTGGGGAGGGGCTGGCCAGCTGGGCCCCCTGTCCTGCTGGTTCCACCCTGCAGTGACTGTGCTTGCCTTCCAGGGAGATCGTGCTGAGCAGGCTGACCAGCTGCTGCAGGAGAAGTGCGAACGTGTCCTACAAATACTCGAAGGTAATTTCCCGTCCCCCCTGCCCCCAATATCCGGCTGTCCGTACGGTGGTGACATCAGTCAGTGATGCGAAAAATGCCGTCGTAGGCAATTTGACGTACGAAAGGGAAAACATCATCCGTTGCTTTTAACCCAAACACACTTTTTGTCCTCTTTTCTTTCAAGTTTTTCTCGTTGTGGTTACAGCTGATTTTCTGAGAACATTTAATAGTCGTTGCTTCTACTTTTTTAGTTATTTAAAAAAAATAAAAAATAATGAAAATTTTTGTGCATCTGGCATTTGGATGGTTGCTTTCAGATAAATTTCCCTAAAAGAGGCCTCATTTGGTTGAAGAGCTACACATTCTCATGACTTGCGGTACTCCTGCCAAACTGCTTTCTAAAAGGCTTATCTCAGACCTTCACGTCCTTCCTGTGGCTTCTCTTACTGCCTGTCCCGTCCCCCCCGTCCCCCCAGGGCACCTGGCTTGAGTAGAGGCCTCTTTCCTGCCCTCGGGGACACTGTTTGCCTTGGGGGGTCTCCTCAGGAGCTGACAGTTGCCAGCCCTCCCTTCCTCTCCTGGTGGGGAGCCTGGGAACGTGGTGACTGCAGTGGGCAGGGGAGGGGGTCCCCAACTCCGGGGTAGGTCGTGGAAGGGAGGGCCACAGGGGAGCAGAACCGAGTGGGGCCTCAGATGGGCTCCAGGGTCCTGCTTTGTCCCTTGCAGGTGAACAAGGAGGAGGAGGCAGATGAGAACGAAACGGAGTGGTTGATGGAAGAGATCCAGGTGCCGACCCCAAGGCCCGGGAAGGAAGGACAGGAAAACGGCCACGTTACCACGAAGTCCGTGAAGGCCGAAGCCCTCACCTCCCTGCACGGGGATGAGCAGGACAGTGAGGATGAGGTCCTGACCATCCCGGAGGTGAAGGTGCACTTGGGCAGAGGGACTGGGGCCGCGAGCATGCCGCATGGGCACACCCCACAGAGGAGGGGGCTTCGGGAGAGCGCGGACGGCGCCGGGGTGCTGCTGCGAGGGGACCTGGTCCGCAGAGGGAAGTCCAGGCCTGCGCCGCCCAAGACCGTGAGCTCCGGCGGCCTGGCGGCCTTCCACGACGACAGTGACGAGGACCTCTTACACATCTAGTCCCCTGGTGCCTCCAGGAGACGCAGGTCCGGTGTCACCAGGCACCTCCAACCAAATAAGACTTCAGCTCGAGGATGCTTCTATCATTTTTGCCTTTAACAAAAACTGTTTCAAAAGGGAAGAGTTTTTGTGATGGGGGAGAGGGTGAGGAGGTCAGGTTTACGGTCCTCGGAACGAGGCTCTGTTCCTGTCGCAGGGGGAGGAGCCGGGGCCCTGGGTTTTGTCCCCAGCCCTCACTTAGAAGCGTGGCAGCCGTGCGCCTCACACTGTGCGCCTGGGCCAGACGCATCTTGGAACCGAGGGCTGTGTATTTGAGAAAAACCCTTGCTGCTTTAGGCCCTGTAGGGTTTTGACCATTATATTTTAGCATTTAATTCTCTCCTCCTCTATTTATTGACTTTGACAATTACTCAGGTTTGCGAAAAAGGAAAAAAACAAAAACAAAAACAAAAAACACAAAAAACGCCACAAACAGCCCCACGGTCTTTTTCCTGACGGCAGGGTAACATAGTGTTCATCCCCTGTCCGGAGGAGGAGCTGTGGGTGTGCTAGGAAGGTTCCATATGAGATTTTGAACTGGTCAATAATGTATCCTCTAAGTTAGAATGCTCCATTCTGTCCTTCCTTTTTGCTTCCTGTTTCTGAAGGGAACACGCACGTGCAGGGGTCCCCGAGTGCCTAGGCTTGGGACGGTTCGCCTGTTCTCTGCCTTTAGTCGGTAACGGCTGCAGCTTTTTGCATGACATCCTCAATCCTAGGTGCACAGAGCACATGTATCAGTATTTCTTTCGCCGGCTGGTGAATTCAAACAACCCACCCAAAGATCGATTATTTTTGTGTGTGTGTGAGGATGGAGTTGAGATGTCAGAGAAAATAACTTTTTCCCAGATTTGGGATATAGGTCTCACCTCTTCAGGTTCTCATGATACCACCTTTACTGTGCTTATTTTTTTAAGAAAAAAAAAAAAGTGTTTATCAACCATTCGACCTATAAGAAGCCTTAATTTGCACAGTGCGTGACTTAACAGAAATTGCATGAAAGCCGACGGGCCAGCACTTCGCCCTCGCGTTGCACTTGGGATTCCTGTGCTGGGGGTGCTGGCTCCACCTCTCAGTGCTGCAGGACGGGAGGGCAGGACGCTGTCCTGCCCTGGCTGTTGGCACCTTTCTTGAAGTGTTTTTCTCGAATTATAGAATTGTATATAGACTCAGTGGTATTCATGTACTGAAAAGCAAGCTGCCCTTGGTTTGTACTCGGTTTGGCTGGCTAATTTGATTTCAACATGAGTGTATTTTTTAAAATTGATTTCTTTTCTCATTTTTTTTCAATCAAATTTACTGTAATATAAAGTATTCAACAATTTCAATAAAAGATAAATTATTAGTCGGGTGTTACTGCTTTTTCCTCCTCGATGGTGAAAAGTTGCCGAAAGATGGTGAAAGGCTGCCTATGTGTTCTGTGAAGTTCCTGAAGAGGTCTGTGCTTGGGTTTCGGCAGCGGGTGGATGGCGGGGGTGGGGGGGTCCCCGCTAGCCCTTCCTGAGCAGCACCGCGGGTGCTCTCTGGACTCATTCCTGTGGGCAGGTTCGAGCACCAGGGCCACCTTGCCTGTGTTCGGCTCCCTTGAGGTCTGCTGTCATCCCTCTTTTCGAGAAAATGGACGTCAGGGTATCCCCGGGTTATCCAAGTGGCCACCTAGGAGTTTGGATTCTGGTGGCGCCGACGAGCATGCCGGTGAGCTGTCCCCATCTCGCACGGGGGTGGTTCCTCTGTATGCTCATCACTCTGACCCGTAATGAGTTTCCGAGATGTTAATGCCAAAGTGGATGAAGCAGAAAGTGACAGTGTCAACTTAGACCTCTTGGAGTCAGCATCCTTCCTTCCCTGCGTCTCGTTTTTTTCATTATCCAGTTGGAGTGACTTTTTTTTTCTTTTTAAGAATTTTACAATGTCGGGCACCTGGGTGGCTCAGTCGTTAAGCGTCTGCCTTCGGCTCAGGTCATGATCCCAGGGTACTGGGATCGAGTCCCGCATTGGGCTCCCTGCTCCTTGGGAGCCTGCTTCTCCCTCTGCCCCTCTCTCTCATGAATAAATAAATAAAAAATCTTAAAAAAAAAAAAAATTTACAATGTCTCTTCTGAAACAGACACTCAAGTTTTAGAGAAGTGCATGTTACGACCAAGGTGTCACTGGTCCTCGGGCATCGTGCCCTCCCCCGCTTCCCCCGAAGACACAGGAAGCCCCTCGGTCAGGAGGTCTGGGGGGCCACTTGCGCACACGCCCCGGCCCTGTTGGTGAGCTCGATGGCAGGGGTCTTCGCCTGCACTCCGGGCTGCCTGCTGAGTGCGCAGCTCATGGCCGGACAGCCGAGGGGGCCAGGTGGCCTGTGTGCTTGAGGGCATTTGCTTGGACTCTTGAGAATCTAGACCAGTGCTGTCCTGGGTTCTGAAAGACAGTCACCATCCTTGTCAGTTGTTGCTATAGGTAGTTTTAGGAAAATGTGCCCTGCCCGCAAATAGGAACTATGGTGTTTCCAGAGAAGGGATCTTACTGGTAAGAGTACAACCCAGATACTCTGTTTCCTTGAACCAACTTTTTTACGCCCTTTTGTTGGAGACTGTCCAAGAGCGGCAGAGAAGTAGAGTAAGGGGGGGATAAGCACAATGTAGGCAAACCTGTGTCAGGGAAATCCATAGTAAAGTAGAAATCTGCTCTTACTAGAACACTTAAAACCAGACGAGCCCTTCAGGAAGGCTGACTGCCTGCCACCTGGGCATTTAAAACAATCTTGTGGGATAATCCAGTCCTTCATGTGAGTGAACTGATGGGCATGGAGGACTTAAGTCTCTTCTTGGGGATCAGGTCACTAGGGGATAGTGAGCATGCTGGGGGCAGGCAGTATGGACGAGGTTAGATTTAAAGAAATCCCCTTCACCAGCTTCTGAAGAGCACCCATGACTAAGGTGCATTCACAGGGCTTGCTTCTCCAGCTGGGCGTCACTGGCTCGGGGTTGGCCTCGCCCTTGAGCTAGCCTTGCTGTGTGGCCGGGGAGCACGGGGCGAGCGAATGATCCCGGCAGAAAGCACCAATGGGGCTGCTGGGGGTGCGGGGCTGGCCACCTGGCCGGGCAGTCCTGTAACACACGTCCAGGCTCGGGTGGGGGCGGCGTTCAGGGCAGATGGAGGAGGTAAGGCTGGAGCGGGCCCAGGACTCGCAGTGTCTCCTGAAAGTCACGGTGAGCCGTGTGCGCTTGTCCCGGAGGCCCCACGGCGAGCCGCGAAAGGGCGGGGTAGGTGGAAGAACGGCCCCCTGGCCGCGCACACGCTGGAGAGCCTCTCAGCCTGGAAGGGAGTCGTGGCGGGAATACAGAGTTTTCTTAAAGATGGAGGGAAACGGGGCACCGGGGTGGCTCAGTCCGTTAAGCATCTGCCTTCGGCTCAGGTCTTCATCCCGGGGTCCTGGGATGGAGCCCCGCATCGGGCTCCCTGCTCATCAAGGAGTCTGCTTCTCCTTCTGCTCCCCCTGCTTGTGTGCTCTCTCGGTGTCAAATAAAATCTTAAAAAAAAAAGAGCAAAGGGAGGCTTGTGAACTGTTAACTCCTGTTTCTTCACCTCTTAGTCTGTGTTGTGTGCTGACCAGTTTGCAAACCAAATTCAGTAAAAAAATTACTTCTAATATTATTTTGGTACAGCGTTAGAGGAAAACCAGATTGAACACATGGTGCAGGTGGTCATTACGCCGGGAGAGGGCAAAACTGTGGAGCCCCCATCTGTGCTCACAGCCGAGTTGGGGTGACCTAACGGCTGCTCTCAGTACTGTCCTGGAGGAAACGGCCTTGGGGAGCTGGCCGCATGGGTTGCTTAGCTGGAGACAGACACACCGTGGGGTGCGATGCCCCAGAAAGCCATGAAAGAAGCCGAGGGCCATGTCCCGGCAAACCCTGTGACCCTTGACTGCAGACTTTTTTGTTTTAATTTTGAGACGATCAGAACATAACAAATTTTGAACAAACAAGATAAGGAACTTTTGTTTTCCTCATTTGCTCTTTTTATTTCAGCCCAGAAAGTTCCTCTGTCCTCTTTGTACTTTTGTGGCCTTGACGTGGGAGGTTGCCCTCCTCACCCTGCTGGGGGTCTGAGACCCTGACAGGCCACTCTCCCGTTGGCTGCCCCTCACCCGCCCCGCCCCTGGAGGATCCCTGTTGTGCTCTGCCCCACCTCGTGGCTTTACGACTCTTGTTCAGGAAGCATGGGAGAGGGACCTCGGGGGTAACGAAATCATACTTAAACTAGGAAATCTTGTCATCATAGAGTGATGTTTTCCAAAGTATGCCCCGTGGAATCCTTGTTCTGTAGGATTTTGGTAGATGTTCTACAATCAGCATTTGGAGGATGCTGACTAGACAGGCTTTCTTGCCACGAGACCTCTAGAGTCTTCAAAAGGACAGATGGTTGAAATTATAATAAACGGTGTGGCCAGTGAATCTCCAAGAAGGGGTACAGTATGCAGTGCTTTCTAAATGTTTGCCAGTGTCCCCTTGGGGAGGTTGGTGGCCTGTGGCCAGTGCCCTGAGAAAAGCTGTCACCATGGGCCCTGGTTCTGTTGTTTCCTGAGGGTCACAGGGAACGGGCTGGGGGTGCCGTCTGATAGATGGGGAGGGCCCAAGAGATGTGTCCATGCTTCCTCTCCCTGAGGAAGCCCCTCCTCCCCAGGGCCCCACCCCTGCCATTTGTGACCCCCCCACAACACCTCTCCCCACTTCAGGTCCAATCCCCAAGATGCTGACCGTGGCACTGACCTTGATGAGGCCCTGCACTGGAATGCCCTTCTACTCTCCACACATGAGTGTTGGCGAGGCGACATTGTTAGGGGTTGAATCGTGTCCCCCCAAGTTCATAAATGAAGTGCTAACCCCTAGCACCTCAGCATGACCTTATATTCAGAGAGAGGGTCTTTACAGAAGTCACCAAGTTAAAGTGAGGTCAGGCGGTGGGCCCTAATCCACTAGGACCAGTGTCCTTACGAAAAGGGAAAATTTGGACAGAGACAGATGTGCGCAGAGAGAAGGCGGCGTTCCACAAGCCAGCGCGACAGGCCTGGAACACACCGTCCCCGCACGGCCCTGGGAAGGAACCAACCCTGCCCACACCTTGGTTTTGGAGTTGTGGCCTTCGGAACTGTGACATAATACATTCCTGCCATGTAAGCCTCCCAGCCCGTGGGGCTTCGTTATGTAATCCAGGGATCTGAGGGCCGGTGGCGCTCCTAGAGGGGCCAGGCAGCCATCAGACCCAGGAGGAGCCATGGCTGTGCCCGGGGCCCGCATCCAGGCCGCCCCCCTGTGACCTGTGATGGCCTCCGTGCCCGACGGAGGACGAATGAGGGAATGCACAGGTGGTTTTGCGGACTCCTTTGTGGGGACAGGGTGGGTGGGTCACCGAGAGCGAGTGGGTTCTCGCGGGCCAGGCGTGGACCCTGATATCTTGAGGACGTGGGTTCTGGCTACTGGGACTTGGATGCCGGCATCCAGTTGGGAACAGAAGCGAGCCCGGGTGATCGCCTCGGCTCTAACCCCAGTCTCCCGTGCTGACTGGTCGTGCTCCCGGGGACCTCTGGCCCCGGCGGTGACGCCGGCGAGCACGCGGCCCTGGGAGCTCTGGAGGTGGGGAGGGTAAGAAGGAATATGCTGTGTGGCTCCCGTTTTATATGTGTGTGGGACAGATGGGGACAAGAAGATTGTTGTGGGCACGGCAGGCACCCCCAGGCCGCTGGGTCAGGATGGTCCCAGCACCTGGAGGGGGAAGGTGGAGACAGAAGTCTCCTGCGTCCAGCCCTCTGGCTGAGGCCTGGGGCGCAGCGTCCTGCCGGCCGTCTCCCGCATCAGCGGGTTTGGTGTGGGGGAAGCAGAGTTCTCAGGGGGGCCCTGACATCGGGGAGGAGCCTGCGGTGTAAGGACAGCCTGGGTCACTGAAGAAGGCAACGCCGTCGATGGCGCAGCCCAGCTCCGTGGCTCCCATGCTGGCTCCTCATTTCTGGCAGTTTCCAGACTCCTCAGTGCAGTTTAACTATCCCTTAAGGCCCTTAAAAGAAAGCTGCTGTTTTGGAGAAGGTGCTGGGGGTTGAGGGCAGTGAGGAGAGGACATGGTGGTCCCCTCCTGGTGGCACATAGAGGGAACCCGCAAACCCAGGGCCGGTGAGGAGGCCTGCAGCCCGGGACAGCTCTGGGGCCGAGGGCAGCGGGGAGGAGGGGCGCCCACGGGGTCGGGGGTGGGGGGCATGGTGGTCGGTTGCTGTCCTGTGTTGCTTCTCCCAGTTGTAATTCTGATCCCCGAGAGGTCCCCGGCCTCCCCTCCATGCACCTGAACCAGGGACTGGGAGATGAGACAGGGAGTGGCCTGGTCTGAGCACGAGAAAGTGTGCCAGGCCCTTGCCCAGAGCCAGGCAGGTTGCTTTCTCCGCAGAGAAAAGAGCAGTGCACGGCAGGCCTGGCCGGCTGGACTGGCCGCTGGGGAGGTGGGGACAGGGAGGGGCCTTGCTTCGGCCCCAGGATGTGTGGAAAGCAGGCCCTTTGCTCCCTGGCTGCTTCCCAAGCAGAGGAGTTGGTGTGAGGAGAGCCAGCCTGTTTGGGGCCAGCACATTTGTGTTACAAAAAGCCACTCATTTTTCCTCCTGTGCAGGGAAAACCCAGCTCTCCCCTCTCCTGTGTGTCTCCCTTGCTACTCACCCAGAACATTTCACTTCTGGTCACCAGACGTGTGGGATTTTCCCGCACACCTAGCAATTCTTTGGAACACCACCTGGGGGTCTTCTAATTTAACTCAGTTCTGACACTGTCTACTTGGAGATCGCATCAGACCCCCCCAGGTTGAGGGCTCAGTCCCACGAGACTGTCCCCCACTTCAAATGCCAACTGCAAATCGTCGGTCCCCAGGTGACCCATAATTCTGTCTGACTTGGATGCAAATTGGGGTTCTGTGACCTCTTCCCCATTGATTTGCTAGAGCGGCTCACAGGACTCAGGGAAACATTTATACCATTTACTGAAGGAGCAGATGAAGAGCCAGACGGAGAGGTACGTAGGGCACGGTTTGGGATAGAGCTTCTGTCGCCGTGGGGCTGGGGTGCGTCCTCCTCCCAGTGTGGATGTGTTCACCAGCCAGGAAGCTCTCCAGATCCCGCACTTTTGGGATTCCTAGAGAGGCTTCATCATGTAGGCTTGATGGGCCACTAGCTCCATTTTCAGCCCTTCTTCCTCCTCAAGAGAATGGGGGTGGGGCTGAAAGTTCCAAGCTTCTAAGCATGGCTTGGTCTATCCCATGACCAGGAGCCATCCAGGAGCCATCCGGAGTCACTTCATTAGAACAAGGGACACTCCTGTCACCCAGGAAATTAGAAGAGTCCAGAAACACAAGGGCACCCTTAGCACCATGAGCATCACTCTATCTGCCTCTCATGGGTGCAGGTGGAGGGACCCGCCCTTAATGTCTGTGTCCTCCCAGGGCTGAGATGGGGCGCAGAGAAGGTATCTCTTGTCTGATGGCATTTTGATGTCCTCTCTCAGCAGCTCTAGCCGAGGCTCCTGGGGTCCCACCCTGTGCCCATATGGCCCCCTTGACCCAGTGTCCTGGGTGTCAGGTTGCTTCACAAGCCAGCAGCTGGGAGCCTGCCCCAGGGATGATCAGGTGATGATGCTGGGTGAAGTCCACGGTGTCTGGAAAGCTGGCCGTCCTCTGTCGGGGTGAGGAGATGGGGAAATGGGCTTGTTCGGGGAGCTTGGCTCTACCACCACCATGTGCCCAGGCTGAAGGACTGGTTAACCAGAAAACCACAGGCTGCTTCCCCGTTCGGCCCACGGTGCTGCCTGCAGCAAAGCTATGCTCAGTTCGTGGCCAGCTGCTGGTGCTGCAGGCTCAGCCTCGGTTCCTCCTGGTAAAATGCGGGATGTGAGTCTCTGCCTGCCCATTCTGCGGCGGGGGCCAGAGGACCCGACTGCCGGCTCCCAGCTCTGCCTTACAGTGAGGAGTGCAAGGGGGGACCAGAATGAGGCCTGGAGGGGCCCGGCCACCACCGGCTGCCGTCTGTCCCACTCCAAGAGCAGCCGCGGGGCGGGCATGCAGTCGGCTGGGCTGAGGGACGAGCTGCTTGAGCCTGGCGTCTGCTGCCGAGGCCCTGGCCTCCGAGGTCAGCCCGGCAAGCAGAGTCCCAGAGGGCCACGTGTGGAGCGCTGTTAGCCAGCCGCAGGCCTGGTGAGTGGGGCTGTGCATAGGCCCCCCAGGCCTCTCGAGGCCCTGCTGCTCCCAGGAGCCCACGGTATTTCTCCTCGTTTATTGCCGTGTAGCCACATTTCCAGAAAACTAGCTGTGGGAGGCCACACACACTTGTCTCCGGTTTCTGGGGGGCAGGGGGGCGGCCGCAGTGTAGCTGGACCCCCTGCAGTCTAGGGAAAGATCCACTTCTGAGCCCACCTAGTCCCTGCACTGTAGGCCCGAGGGTCTCCGTCAGCCAGGGCGCCCTACGTCCTTGCCACGAAGATTCCCCCCAGGTCGCTTGCCCCAGCAAAGCCAGCAATGGGGAGAGGGAAGCCCAGCAGGGCGGCCGATACGCTGTACGTGATGTAACCACACAAGAGCATGGCCATGTCTGTGGTATTTCATGCGGACAAGCCGGTCTCAGGCCCCGTGCCTACCCCAGCGTGCAAACACCAGGAGGCAGGGTCATCGGGGGCCACCTTCCCATCCCTGCCTGCCACACCCTTCCTGCCCTTCCTCACCTCCAAGGTGCAGAGCAGGCCGAGGGGCCAGTCTGGGGGGCTCCCCTAGTGCCCTCTGCTTGAGCTGTCCCTTTGTGAGTCTATCCCCCCTGAACTGTGAGCCGCGTGGAGGTCGAGGCTGCCCCATCTCGGTGTCCCGGAGCCTGGCACTGCTTGAAACGTAGAGGGACTCGGCGGGTATCTGGCGAGACAGCAAAACACGTGAGTTGCTGAACCAAGGGCAGGTTAATAAATTAAGGGAGGTTGCTCTGGAGTGGAACAAGGTTCGAGTTCAATGACGGTGCGAACTTGGGCAGTAGCCGGTAGCTCCCTAAGCCTCCGCTTTCCCAGCTGTGCAGTGCGGACCGTGATGGCACCTCCCGCGAAGGCCTCCGCGAGGGGTTCGAGAACACACGCTGGAGCTCTGAATTGGCGGCTGATGGCTTTCGTCATTGGCAGTCACGGGTTGGCCGGGCTGGCCGCTGGGTCTCGAGCGTTCCCTGTGCTCGCTCACTGCTCCCCTGTCCACGGGGCGCGGGCCTGCGTCAAACGGCCTCAGTGGCGAACGGGACGCGGAGCTGGTGGCCAGCGAGCGAGCGTGAGCCGCCCGATTATACACACTCTACGGTTTGCTGTCTTTGATTTAGCGGGATTATGCACAGTTTGAAGAGGTAATGTCTCTGGAAGAGCCCTACGGAGACCGGCGGGGCGGGGGTCACCCAGTGGCCTCTAGCTCTCTCCTCTCTCGGAGGGAACTCTGACTCCAGAGAATTCGAACCTCCGCCTGGTTGACTGGCTTCCCTGCCAGGCCACGTGGCCGGTCACCGTCCTGCCTTCCACCCTCGCCTGACGCGGGCAGCACGGGGTGAAAGATTGCTTCCAGTTGGTCGGCTTCCAGGTCGAGCATGCTTGGACAGCAGCGTGCTCTCAAGCCAGCATTGAAGAGAAGTGCACGCGGAACATTGACCCCGGCCCTGGCAGCCAGGGCAGTTCGGCCAAAGCGATGAGGGAGGTGCTGGCCCCATTATGCCCACCGTGGATGATATTCTGGAGCAGGTCGGCGAGTTTGGCCGGTTCCAGAAGCAAGCCTTCCTGACCCTATGCCTGCTCTCAGCTGCCTTCGCCCCCATCTACGTGGGCATCGTCTTCCTGGCCTTCACCCCGGATCACCGCTGCCTGAGCCCCGGGGTGGCCGAGCTGAGCCGGCGATGCGGCTGGAGCCTGGCGGACGAGCTGAACTACACGGTGCCCGGCCCGGGGGCCATGGGCGAGGCCTTCCCCCGCCAGTGCCGCGGCTACGAGGTGGACTGGAACCGGAGCGCCCTCAGCTGCGTGGACCCGCTGGCAGGCCTGGCCACCAACAGGAGCCACCTGCCGCTGGGGCCCTGTCGCCACGGCTGGGTGTACGACACACGGGGCTCGTCCATCGTGACCGAGGTAAGGGCAGGCCCCGGGTTTGGGGGAATAGGTGGGTTTCAGGGGCAGGGAGGAGACACACAACAAATCCTAGGAGGTTTGGTTTCGCGTCAGGAAGGAGGAGAGTTTTGTCGGCTGAGCACTTAGGATGTGCCCGGCTCCGTCCTGGGCACTCTGCCTGCTTCTGCCGTCTGGTCCCCCACAGACGCTGGGGGTTCGAGGCGCAGGCTGGAGGGCGGGGAGACCTTTGCCAGCCAGGCTGAGCTGCATTTTTGGAACACGGGCCTACGGGGAGATGGGTTCCTCATCTTTCTGCCCCATGGCTTCTCCAAGAGCCTGTACAATTCCCTTGAGGTGCCATTAGAATGGTGGGTCCCCCTTCCTCCACTCATGTGACAGCTGAGTGCCGGCTGGGGTGGTTTGGAAGCCACCCTGGCTTTTGAGTCAGACTGTTTCAATCCCAGCCGTGCCCCAGATCAGCTGGGCATCCCTGAGGATGTTACTCAGCATCTCTGAGCCTCTGCTTCCTCATGGGTGAGCCAGGGATGGCAGTCACCGGCCCCACGGGGTTGGCGAGTTCAGCTGTGGGTGGCGGCCCCACTCCCCGCCTACAGGACGGGGTAGTGGTGTCAAAGGGCCTCGCTTGCCGAGTTCAATGGGTCCTGTCTGTATTGCACCTCGAGAATATTTTAGTAAAAAGCCACCAGATTTTTTTTTTCCTTCGTGCATCTTTTTGAAAATGTTGCATTGTGACAAGTGTGGGCCCTTGGAAATTGGCTCTGAGGTCAGTTGTTGAAGCCACAGGCCAGTTTTAGTGTCAACACAGCCGAGGCTCTTACTGGAGGAAGGTGCTGGGTCCTCTCCTCTGGCCTGATCAGTACCCCGCGGTGGGGCATGGGGGTCGGACCGGGGAGGGGGCAGAGCAGAAGTTTCCCCTTTGGGGGGAACCCTCCTACACTGTTGGTGGGAATGCAAGCTGGTGCAGCCACTCTGGAAAACAGTATGGAGGTTCCTCAAAAAGTTGAAAATAGAGTTCCATATGACCCAGAAATTGCACTACTGGGTATTTACCCCAAAGATACAAATGTAGGGGTCCGAAGGGGTATGTGCACCCCAGTGTTTATAGCAGCAATGTCCACAATAGCCAAACTGTGAAAGAGCCAAGATGTTCATTGACAGATGAATGGATAAAGAAGATGTGGTATATATATACAATGGAATATTATGCAGCCATCAAAAGGAATGAGATCTTGCCATTTGCAGGGATGTGGATGGACCTGGAGGGTATTATGCTGAACGAAATAAGTCAATCAGAGAAAGACATGTATCATATGACCTCACTGATATGAGGAATTCTTAATCTCAGGAAACAAACTGAGGGTTGCTGGAGTGGGGGGTGGGGTGGGAGGGATGGGGTGACTGGGTGACAGACACTGGGGAGGGTACGTGCTCTGGTGAGCGCTGTGAATTGTGCAAGACTGTTGAATCTCAGATCTGTACCTATGAAACAAATAATGCACTATATGTTAAGAAAAAAAAAGAAGAAGATAGCAGGAGGGGAAGAATGAAGGGGGGAAATCGGAGGGGTAGACGAACCATGAGAGATGATGGACTCTAAAAAATAAACTGAGGGTTCTATAGGGGAGGGGGGTGGGAGGATGGGTTAGCCTGGTGATGGGTATTGAGGAGGGCACGTTCTGCATGGAGCACTGGGTGTTATGCACAAACAATGAATCATGGAACACTACATCTAAAACTAATGATGTAATGTATGGGGATTAACATAACAATAAAAAAATTTAAAAAAAAAAAGAAGAAGATAGCAGGAAGGGAAAAATGAAGGGGGGGAAATCGGAGGGGGATGCGCACCATGAGAGACTATAGACTCTGAGAAACAAACTGAGGGTTCTAGAAGGCAGGGGGGAGGAGGGATGGGTTAGCCTGGTGATGGGTATTAAAGAGGGCACATATTGAATGGAGCACTGGGTGTTATATGCAAACAATGAATCATGGAACACTACATCAAAAACTAATGATGTAATGTATGGTGATTAACATAACATAATAAAATTAAGGAAAAAAAAAGTTTCCCCTTTGGGAGGAACAGGTGTGGGTGTGACTTGCTTTACCTGCCACCGCATGAACACCTGGTCTCCAAGCCTTCCTCCAGTGACAGATAACCAATTAGACACCTCGTTCCCAGGGATACTCAACTGTCCAGTACTCTGGCTGGGACTCTAGAAGCAGACCCAGACAGGGAAGTGTTTGTTCTCTGTGACTGGGGTACCTTAGCTGCTGAACTGATCCCGGGGGTGGGGCGGGGGGGTGGTTGCGTCTTCTGGAAGGAGGTGGCATTTGAATGGAGCCTCGGGCGGTATTCTGAGCAGCAAGGAGAGGGAACAGGACAGACGGGGAGGAGGAACATGAGCTGAGGCTCAGGGGAGAGGAAGCTTGTGCGAACACTGGGGACAATGCGCTGTTACATTGATTCGAATTCAGGGCTCTGTGGAGGAGCGTGGGGGTGAGTGGTGGTGATGCCTCACTTTCCGCCAGAGTGCAGCGTCCTCACGTAAGGTTGCCAGAAAGAAATGCAGGACACCGAGTTAAATTTGAATTTCAGATAAATAACAAACGATTTTTCTAAGATAATTATGCCCCACATATTGCACAATATTTGATGCTGATAACCGAGGCAGGGAATACAAATATTGCATGTGACGTACTAATACTAAAAATGTGTTGTTTATCTGAAATTAAAATTCTACCCGGTACCCTGGATTTCCTTTCCTAAACCTGGCAACCCTGCCTTCATGCCAAACGAGGAAGTTTGGTCTTGTTTAGGCAGAGGAGCAAGACCTTCCTAGCTGGACTTTGGGAATGGTCTGGATGCAGGGTGCTGGGGCTGGTGTGGGCTGTGAGGAAGGGGCCCATCTTGCCTGAGGGTTCTTGCAGGAGAGTGGGCGAGCAGGGCTTCTAAGCCTGAGCCTGGACCACAGGAGAAGGAGGGGGTTTGGCGGTGGAGGCGCCTGGCAGGGTGGTGGCCGGGAGGGGCAGCAGACCCGGAGGGGGAGGGGCAGACGCAAGGGGACTGAGAGAGCTCCAGAGCGCAGTGGCTGTCTGTGGCAACAGGGGTGGGCTTCCAGGAGACCCTAGATCAAAGCACTGGCAAGGATTGAGGGGATCCTCGAATTGTCATTCACAGAGGGAGTGGGGAGGAGGTAGCTGTAGGGTAGAGTGCTGAGTGTGAAGGGGGGTTTGCTGGAGACACTGGGCTGACTAGACACAGGGGCCCTAGGGTAGGGGCCCCAGGAGGACTCAGCACTCTCCCCCCATTGCTTTAAACCCGCCTTTGCCTCCGCTCCTCATCCTAAACTGCAGCTTATTCTTGGGGGGATTTGCCTTTCTGCAGAAATAATCTTTAACTTAGCCTTGCCTTGGACATTGGAACTTGCTTGAGGGAGGATGCTGAGCCAGCTCGTTTGAATATCCCAGTGGCACTCCCCCTCTGTGCTAGGGATGGGGCCTGGGGCTCCGTCTGGGGAAGGAATGTGCATGTTCCCTGACTTCTGAGTCCCCTGGCCTGTCAGCTGCAGCCCCACGGTGGGCTGGGGGCCCCCCTCCAGGCTGGTTAACCCCGGTCTTCCCCGGCCTGGGAGCATGAGCAAGAGAAAGTCCTCAGCTCCAGGTCCCGGGAGCCCTCTATCAGCAATATCACTGTTTCCAAACTTGTCTCATCCTAGAGATCTCCTGGCTTCTGCTCTGTGATCTGCTGAGACAGGATCCACAGCAGTCTACATTCTGGCAAGGACTCTGGGTGATCTCGTGGTCAGACGAGCTTGGAGAACACAGACTGTGCCTGAGACCCCAGGCACTGGCCCTGGCGGAACCCGAGCGGGCGCAGCCACCCATCTAGCGCCCCCTACTCCGCGCCACCCCAGGCTTTCCTGAGGGCTGGGCCTGTCTTCCTGGTGTGCACAAATGTGCAGGGGGGGCAGTGGTTGGGTGTGAGGTGGGGGAGGCACAGGCCATGGCAGGTGACTCTAGACACAGATCCTGAGCATAGTGGGGGCAGAGATCTCCGCAGGAGGTGGTGGTGCCACGTAAGGCCAGATGCCCCTTCCTCCAGCTCTGTGAGCGCCCTGGCTTCTGCACAGTCTGGGGGACAAGATGGCGCCCTGGGCATTGCAGGAAGGGGGGCAGGGACATCCTACAGACACACTCATGGCGAAGATTAGAACAAAAGACAAAAAACGGTGCCCTGCAGCTTTGGTGGAATCTGGCGCACACAGATTATGGTCTTGGACATTTGAGTAGAGGCTACAAAAAGACAGTTGGGCAGGTGGAGATGCAGACCCTGGGACAGCCAGATAACACCCAAGTGATCTGTCCTTCAGTCTTCTAACGGCAGGGCCCAGGGCAGGCCGGGAAAACCAGCGAACCGCAGAAGCCTCGCGGGGCCGGTGTGCTTTCAGCCGAAGGGAATGAACATTTGGGTTGGTAGAGGGACCGCCTGAGAGGCTGAGTGGCATCTTGTCGTGCCTCCCAGAGCTGAGCCACTCACGGGAGCAGACCGCGGGGTCTGGGCAGCAATAGCAGGTGTAGGACAGGCTCGGGATTCGTTTCTGAAAATCAAGTGGTGACCCAGAGTGCTACCTAGATTTTATTTTAAAAAGTGCTCATGTCAAGGAAGTAAGCAGCCAGTTGGAGAGAACCCCAGGCTGATGGAGCCCAGAGCCCTGGGGCCCTTAACAATCGATCCCTGAGCCCGGGGACGGGGGGTGGCGGGGGAGGCTCGGTTTTAACTGGCAACCTAGAGATTTGCGGACGGTGGTGTGTAGTAAAACCGCTATCCTAAAAGGTAAAGGGTTTGTTATTTACCTAAACCATTTTCACAGGACTTCTCCCCTCTGTGCTCACACCAGCGCTGTGAATGGAACAGGACAGGCACAGTACACACAGTTCAGACTGGGAAACTGAGGCCCACCTACTGTCACATCTGGTAGGGGGAGCCATGAATCCAAGTAACTAGAGCGGGACAGAGACAGGGAGAAAGGAAGGATGTGCCGCTGGCTGCCACCTCGTCAGGCTGTGCCAGGGACGGGGACTTCGTGAGGGCCCCAGCTGTGGAGCTCCACACCTTACTTCTACCTTCTCTGTGCCCCGAAGAGGAAGTGGGACCCTCCTCCTCCTCCTCACGGTGCCCTGGTGTGTGCCCCCTGCGGTGGGGCTTCCCCTGAAGCACAACAGAGCCCTTCCCCAGGCAGATCTGTCCTGCCTTTGCCCCTGTCTCCCTCCTGCCTAGTCCCTCTGCTCTCTGGCTCTGGGCACAGTGCTCCCTGAGTCTCTGGCCACCCTGGGCCCCGCATGCAGGACACCAGCGCGCACGCTGCTCCCTCCAAGCCCTCTCCTTGCCCATAGTGTCTTTGCTCAGCCCCTCCCCGTGGCCACTCGCAGCCACATCGGCCATGCTGAGTCTCCAGAATTATCGGTGGGTTTCACATAATTAAATATATAATTAACAGGTACTTAATGGATGGCTTTTGACCAGTTCTGGAAATCATGTTCGATTTATTTTGCTACATTTCTGTCTTTAGGAAATTACTGTGCTGTACTTCTTTTTAGAAGACTTATCTGTTGGCTGTGTTGTCTTTCAATAACCGGCTGTCAAAGTCAAAGCTCTTGACAGTGGTGAGGGTAGAGCAAAGATATTAGGCATATAATGGTAGTAGCTGAGATTCGCCAGAAACCTGGAATTTGTCTTATGAAACTGTGGCAAGAGAAAATGATGTGAAACCCTTGGGGGTATCACACTTCATGGTAAACATTTACTTTGTCCGGAGAGAAGACGGAAGGGACAGTTTGACTTACAAATGGTCTTGTGTTTTCGGCCCTTCTGACTGTGGTGTGACCCGCAGTTTAACCTGGTGTGTGACGACTCTTGGAAGGTGGACCTCTTTCAGTCCTGCGTGAACCTGGGCTTCTTCCTGGGCTCTCTGGGTGTCGGCTACATTGCAGACAGGTACGTAAAGGTCAATCTGACTAAACGCAGCGGCGATGCCGTGAGGAGAATGGATCGTAGAGGACAATGGTGGAAGCATCTGGCCGGGTGAAATCTACCGCAGACGCTGACGGAGAAAGACATGGTAGCTAGTGCTTTGGACTGAGGTAGGGCAGCACGATGGAGTATGGGCGGGGATTTAGGATGGATTTTGGGGGTCAAAACTCATGCAGATTGTATAGTTGGGGTGGTGGGCTGAGAGAAGGTGGGGACAAAGCCAGGGTTTACGCATGGAGCAGATGGGTGAGGTGAGGTTAGGGCCATTTTTTGAGACAGGACAGAAGAGGTTAGCAGCCTTTGTTGTGGGGAGAGAGGGTGGGGAGCCATCAAGAGTTCTGTCCTGGTGGGGTGCACATGGCAGCTAAGCTAAGTGTAGCCCAAGTGGTGCAGAAGAGATGTCACCTAGGGAGGTGGATGCGTGGGTTGTGCTCAGAAAAGAGGTTTGTGCTAGAGATAAATATTTGGGATTTGTTGGCAGGAGCTGGTATCTAAAGCCGTTGATGATGTTTGAGATAAGCTAGCGGAGTGTACAGAGGCTGGTAGGGAAGGAGTTGCTGGCAAAGGAGATTTGGAAGAAATGGCAGGGAGGTAGAAAGACAACCGCTCTTCCGGGATAGTGTGAAGCTATAGAACACAAGACAGGACTGGCCTGACGGGTCCAAACCTGTGGACACGGCACCATGACTACCAGTGGCAAGGATGGTGTCAGGGGAAGGGTGAGGAAAAGAGAGAGAGGAGAAAGTAGAGTTTGTGTGTGTGGAAAACTCTGTAAGGCAAGTGGGCCAGGAAGGACAGGGGACAGGCAAAGGGTCCAGGATGGGGGTGACCCATCGTGGAGGGCTTGAGGGAGCAACAGGGCAGTGGAGGGGCTGGGCCCCAGGGGAGCAGGTGAAGCAGCCTTCCGTCGGAGGCACAGGAGACAAGATGGAGGCAGATGCAGATAACATTAGTTCTGATTGTTCTGAGGTGACAAGGTGTGAGCGTCTGACAGGAAGTTTCTACATTAGTACAGGATGAGGACATTCACTGGCTGGTGTGGAGGTACGCTGGGGAGGAACGTGGGGCTGGAGGTGAGAAGGCAAGGAGTAGGGGGATGAAGGGCCCGGGATGGAGTCTAGGAGGCAGAGGGCAGGGAACACAGAGGTTGCAGGGTGGGGAGATCTGGGGGTGGAGACCAGGTCACTGTGACCACACAGGAGGTTGGCCCCTTGCTTCCTCAAGTAGCCACCAGAGTGTGGGATCAGGTTGGAAAAATGGAGTCAATGAAGCTCCCTACCGGGATGAAGAGTTAGCAAGTGATTTGCCCATTTCATTCATGAAAAAAGGAAAGGGAAATAATCCTCAATTGTTATACCATTAGAACTGAATATTTTCCCATAAAACTTTCTGAGGCTGCTGATAAGACTAGCATGTTAATAATAATACAGTCTGCCGGGCGATGAGAGGGGGCACACGTGGGAACCTGCAGAACCCCCAGGTGAACCACCCCCTCCCCCCGACTGGCTGAGATGCCAGATGCCTGAGACCAGGATTCTGGCTTCCTCCTTACAGTGAGTTAATGAAGCTCGGAAGGGCCGCTGTTCCCTGAGGACCACACGGTTGGGCCCTCAGGTCCGGGGGGCAGTCCCTCAGGACAGCAGTGATGCATGCCTCCCGATCGAAACCCTTGCTGCCCCTTGGTGCCCTTTGGACCCCAAATACTCCCCACTTCCCTGTCTCCTTGCCTCTGAAGGTTTGGCCGAAAATTATGTCTCTTGGCCACCAGCCTTATCAGTGCCATCTTGGGTGTCCTCATGGCCGTGGCGCAAGACTACCTGTCTCTGCTGCTCTTCCGCCTGCTGCAGGGGCTGGTCAGCAAGGGCAGCTGGACGTCTGGCTATGTCCTGAGTAAGTGTCTGCTGGGCTGAGTTCCCACCAGGGCAGGTGGGCGGGTGGGCAGGTGGAAGGGGGTGGAGCCAAACGTGGAGGTGGGATTTAGGGGGAGAGGGGACATTTGTGGGGTCTAGAGAAATTGTGCTAGCTCTAGTTGTATGTGATTGTCTGTCTGACCGGGCAGGGCATGACGTGGGGACAGCCTCCCTCCCTCCCTCCTTCCTCCTCCCTCCCTCCCTCCCTCCCTTCCTGCCCCCCTGAAGGCTTGCAGGTCACATATTCCCTGGGCCTCCCCTGGGAATATTGGTCTCCTTTATTGGCTTCTCTTCTCCCCCATCCCTCAATGTGGCAGGACCCAGGACTTTGTCCTCCCCGTCCCCAAACCTGCTCCACCTGCAGACCCCCACTCCAGCCCCCAGTCAGTGACGTGCCCTCTGTCCAGCCACTCAGGCCAGAGGTCTGGCAGTCAGCATGGCCCCCATTTCTCTACGCCTGCTTCTGGCCCCTCAGGGGTTCTGTTGCTGGCTTTCACAGCGCACACGTGTCCACCATCTCTCCTCTGCCCCTGCCCCTGGGCCCAAGCCAACGCCATCGCTTCTCCTCCACATGGGTCACCAGTCTCAACTCAGCAGTGGACGTGGGATTGTGTTGCCCCTCTGGGCCCGGGCTCTGCACTTCATGCAGCATAGACCAGCCTCTGTAAGGCCCCCAGGACGGCCTGGCCCCGGGCACCGCCCCTCTCCCTGGAGATCTGCTTCCTTGGCTCCCACTGCCTGGAACTTCACCCTTGAGGTTCACCCCCCTGCACTGCTCTCTGAAAAACTGCAACCCCTTCACCCTCCACTCTCCCGATCCCCTTCCACCAGTGAACTCTCCGTCCCCCCCATGGCACAAAGTGCATTCTGGCCTGGCACACAATTTACGCATTTGCTGGGTGTGCCCTCTGCCCTCTCTCATGAGGACGTGGGGTTATGAGGGCACAACTCTGCCCGTGGGGCTGATGACACACCCCAAACACCCAGAGTGGTGCCGGGTCCCTGGTAGGCACCCAGGAATGCTTGTTAAATGAATGTGCGCTCCTGGGGCCGTGAGAAATCTCACAGCTCAGTCTGAAGTTTGTCGGGGCAAAGCTCTGGGGAGGAGAGGGGGGCCCGTGTTCAGGCATACCGGACCCTGAAGCACCCGGAGGACACTACAGACGGCAAAATGGGGGGATTAAAAAAGGAAGAGCTAGAGAGAAGCTGGGACCGACAGCCAGGTGTATCTCAGGGAGGCTTGAGCTGAGTAACATCAGCAGGACGAGGGGAAGGAGCCTGGGGTCAGCCAGGCAGGGGCAAGGTGCAGGGGCTCGCCAGGGGGAGGGAGGGAGGGAGGCCACGGGGAGCTCAAGGAGCCCCAGTGGTGACTCATGTCCTGTTTCAGTCACAGAGTTCGTGGGCTTGGGCTACAGGCGAACGGTGGCGATCCTCTACCAGATGGCCTTCACGGTGGGGCTCCTGCTGCTCTCGGGGGTGGCCTACACCATCCCTCACTGGAGGTGGCTCCAGCTGGCCATCTCTCTGCCCACCTTCCTCTTCCTGCTCTACTACTGGTATGTGGGTCCTCCACGGGGGCCCTGCTCCTCTCTCCACCCCCGGGACCATGCTTAGTGAACTCCGACTGCCTGGGGACCTCATGGCCACACAAGCCATCCCCCAAATGGCCACAGTGGCCACACACTCGGGCACAGGGCTGCTTCTGCCCTTTGTGCCATTTGGGGTGTTCTAATATTACAGGATGGCCCCTGTTACATGGGGAGCTACCCTCAAACAGAGCCTCTTTCAGTTTGCATCCCTTTAGATAGAGGGGCAATGCTTCAAGTCAGATAGGAAGCCACCTAGCCACATAGTAGGCATTTGCTGTTTGTTGAATGAATGAATGAATGAATGAGTGAATAAAAGTTCTTGGGGAATGTGTACATTAAGCCATTGTGAGACAAACCAGTCCCAAGATGAGGTATTAATCTTACTAGCAGACAGCACTTGGCAGGGTCCCAAGAGATAAGCAGCTGGACAGATGAGTTTTGAATTTTGATTGTGGGCCAGGGAAGGGGTGCAGAGAGGGCTATGGAGAGAAATATCTCATCCCTGTACCCTTCGTCACCATTCTGCTAAGGACAAATTATCTGTGGGTAGCACTGAAGTAGACCCAATCTCTCTAAACCAGGGCTTGCCGCTGGGAGCGGTATGTCTGTGGTCAGGACGAGCCTGCTCTCCCCCATCAGGGTGAAATCTGGGGCTCCCCAGTGGGGAAGGACGCCCTGGCTGAGTCTCGCTGGCCGGGCAGGGTGGGCCTATGCCTGAGTGTTTTCAGAAGACCTCATGCCAGAGATTCCCAATCCTCATGTTGTAACATCCTCACCCGGTTTGAAATGGACCGCATGCTATCTGTTTATTTGGTTTTGGAGATATTTGGTATCTTGTTCAACAACCCTTGTAAGACGCAGAGACACCCTGCTGGCACACAAGGGTTGGGGGCCATATGGAGCATCGATTCTGTGCGAGGAGTTTCCAAGGGAACAAGGGCTGCCAGTGGCCAGCAGAGAGTGGGACCCCTGCTCAGTGGAATGAAGGCCACAGAGGAAAACAGCAGTTCCCTTTTTGCCCCTAAATCTTAGCAGGTGGCACTGAGTGTGAGGGACCCCCAGAGCCGCTTCGTGGGCACCCTGAGCCAGCGCAGGATGACCCCAGGTCCTCGTCCACTAGCTGCTTGAGGAATTACAGTCCCGAAGTGAAGAGGGTGGGTTGCTGGGAACAATAGCACCTCTCTGAGCAGGGCTTACCATCAGACGCGCTCTGGGGAAGCCACCACGTAGGGACATCGGTGTCTGCAGGTGTGTGCCCGAGTCTCCCCGGTGGCTGCTATCACAGAAGAGAAACACTCAAGTGATAAAGATAATGGACCATATCGCCCAAAAGAATGGGAAATCGCCTCTCGCTGATCTAAAGGTGACAAACTAGCAAGGGGTTTCTCATATCACTGAACTTTGGGTTGGGTTTATGATTTAGAAAATGCTTCCGGGGCTGCCTTGAGGAGCAGGAAGGCCCTGGAGGAATTTGGGGTGATGAGCGCTGAGCACAGGAATGGGTGGGGTGGCTCTGCAGGCTTCTTCTGCTCCCCCCAGCTTGGATGCAGCTGATGCTCTGACTCCCTCCTAGATGCTCTCTCTCGAAGAGGATGTCACTGAAAAGCTGAGCCCCTCCTTTGCAGACCTGTTCCGCACGCCACACCTGAGGAAGCACACCTTTATTCTGATGTACCTGTGGTGAGGGGCCTTTCCTGTACCTTCCCGCAATGGAATCGGGTGCTTGCCCGGGCACTGGGGTACTCACCCACGTACCCTGGCCCACCCCCGGGGTCTGCACCCCTCTCCAGGCTGCTTTCTTGCAGCCCCCTACCCTGTTCCCTCAGAGGACATCCGGCCGGCTCCCCATCACCCGGGCTTTGTCCTTGACATTCAGTAGCTCCCCCAACCCCAGGGGCTGAGTGGCTGGACTGTGGGCTCCCCGCCTTCAGCTGGAGCCACTCTGCTGCTGGTACACTCGTTTCTGCTTCCAGCAAGGTTTTACTAGAACCAAGGGTCCGAGCTAGTAGGGTGATGCCTGGTACATGGTAGCCCTGCAAATATTTGCTGAAGGTTGAATAAATAACCACGGTTCCACAGAATCCATCCCAAGTGCAGGAGATGCCAGCCAGGCTCACCATGCCCTCCCTTGGCCCCACCAGTCACCTGCCATGTCCCCGTGTTGGCCCCAGAGTCCTGCAGCCAGCGCACGATGGGTCCCGGGAGCCTTTGCAAACACCCCAGCTGCACTTCCATCCCCCTCTTTACTTCCTCCCCTTTCCACTCACTCTCCCCACTGCCATCCCCTAATGCACTCCTCTGGGGGGTGGGGCGGGTTTGACTCCTCTGCTCTCACACCCCTGCACCCACTCCCCGGGCCAATTCTGCTCTTTTTTGAAAGGTCACTCCCCTGTCCACATCCTCCGCTGGCTTCCTAACAAACTGAGGATAGAACCAAATCCCTTTCCGTGGCCTACAGGGAGCTGACCCTGAACACCCCTTCCCTCCACCTGCTCCTTCCTTCCCAGCACTTCCCAGCCGCGTGACTCCAGACAGCTCTGCGTTCTCTCTATGACTCAGTTTCCTTGTCAGCAAATAGGGGTAATGGGAGTGCCCCCCCTCACCCGCGTGTTGGTAGATTCATGAGACAATCTGTGTAAATGGCTTAGAACCAGTGGCTCGGTACCACGGGCTACTATTTTAACATGTACATGCAATTCATGGGTTCTGCCAAAAGATGGCAGGCCTGCACATTTGTTAACTGTTCCTTGATGAAAAATCAAGCTTACACATTCTTTTCTCCTAAATCAATCTCTTCATCGGTAAGATGTGACTGTTCCATTTTACTGGGGCAAAGAGAGGGCGTGGTGAGCCTTTCGGAAATCAGGAATGATTCAGGACTAGAAACAAGAGCATCCCAATGTTTCTCTGTGTGCAGCTTTATAAAACAAGGGAGTATATTGATAAGAACTATCAGTTGTGATCTCCGTTTTGGAGCTGAAGCACAATTTACATGCTGGGATAAGACAGCAACTTCTTATCAACCAAAATCTCTACTCGCAGTGTAAATACCAATATAATGATCAAATGTTTCTAGCCTCCAAAATGATACAAGGTCACCAAAAGAGACACATGGGACTCTGAATTCTCCCTGAGTGACTTGGCCGGTCCCCACTGGTCTCTGTGCCGTATTCTGTACCACTGCTACTCTTCCCTGGAATACGGATGGAGCGTCCTCTGGTGGGCTACAGGGTGGAAGAGGGAGGGGAACAGCGCTGTTGACGAAGCAGGAAAGACTTGGCTGGCACCTCCTCTGCTGTGCTTTGTGGACTTGACCTTGGGAAGATGATGATGAGGATGCCAATCATCGCTCATCTTTAGCGAGTGCTTTCTTCGTTCCCAGAACCACACCAGGCACTTACTGTGGGACAGAGAGGGGGGTGCAGCAAGGGTTGTGGAGAGAAATATCTCATCCGTGCACCTTTCGTCACCGTTCTGCTGAGGGCAAGCCTGATCTGTAGGTGGCACTGGGGTAGGACACAGTGAATGAAGGCTGGTCTCTAAGCCTTATACATCTGTGGTCAGGACAAGGCTGCTGTCCCCTTGTGGGTGTGGAACAAGGGGCTCCCCCGTGGGAAAGGATGCTCTGGCTGAGACTCGAAGTTTGGGCAGGATGGGACTGTGTCTGAGTGTTCTCGGAAGACCTTATTCCATTTATTGATGAGGGAATTGAGGCACAGAGGGCTTCGTTCAGTTACTCAGGGTCACACAGCTCACACAGCAGTCTGATTGCTGAATCTGCTCACTCCGTGGTGCCTTCTGCCCATCCCCTTGTAGCTGCTGGGGCCTCAGGGTCCTCGTTTGCCATCTCGAGGACATGTCGTTGTATCCTGGAAGTCACTATGTCACATCAATCCTGAGAGGAGCTTCTCCCTGAGCGCCCCTCTAGGACAGCCTTCCTGATTTTTATCCCCTCTTCTCATGTCGCTCCAGGACATTCTAAATCGAGGGACACCTGTTCCTCTCCAGCTCGTAGGGACCTTTGTCCTCGCTGGACAGGATCTTAACTCTCTCCCGTCCCACAGACGGAGCCTCTGCCTGAGACTGCTTCTCCTCTGTGCTCAGGTTCACCAGCTCCGTGCTCTATCAGGGCCTCATCATGCACGTGGGCGCCACGGGGGGGAACCTCTACCTGGATTTCTTTTACTCTGCTCTGGTTGAATTCCCGGCGGCCTTCATCATCCTCGCCACCATTGACCGCTGTGGCCTCATCCGCCCCTTGGCTGCGTCGAATCTGGTGGCGGGGGCAGCCTGCTTCGTCATGATCTTTATTTCACATGGTGAGTCGTGCGTTCCCCTCATCTTCTAGGTAATCAAATTATCGATCTGAAATTCAGATCGAATTTGGGAATAGTGTTTCAGGTCCTGGATGTGCCCCTTGAACAAGAACAAAGACAAAGACAGGGTGTTATCTTAGTCTACTACTGTGTTGTTGTTGGTTTTTTTTAATTTTAAATTGTGGTATAACATACACACAATGAGCAAATGACAAGTGTACAAGCTGATGACTGTTTGCATGTGAATGTATCTGGGCACCAGGACCTAGATATGTGGAACATTTTCTTTTTTTTTTTTTTAAAGATTTTATTTATTTATTTGAGAGAGAGAATGAGAGAGAGCACATGAGAGGGGGGAGGTCAGAGGGAGAAGCAGACTCCCCGCCGAGCAGGGAGCCCGATGCGGGACTCGATCCCGGGACTCCAGGATCATGACCTGAGCCGAAGGCAGTCGCTTAACCAACTGAGCCACCCAGGCGCCCAATATGTGGAACATTTTCAACACCCCAGAAGGTTCCCCTGTGTTCCCTGACAATCCATACTGACCCCTCCTGTTCAGATCACCACTGCTCTGACCTCTGTCACCAAAAAGTAATTTTGACTGTTCTTGAACTTCATACAAAAGGACCCATAGCAAAGGTACCCTGTGTCTTTGTCTGGCTTCATTCCATCATTCCATCCATGAGATTTGTCCATGTTGTCACACCAGAGTGTAGTTCATTCTCTTTCACTGTTGGGCAGCATTCTACTGCCTGAATCCCGTGCTACCATCCCACGCTGACTGACACTTGTGTGGTTTCCAGCGTCTGCCTACTGGGAAAAGCTGCAGGGAATGTTCCGGCCCATGTCTTTTCATGGGCATAGACTCATTTCCCGTGGGTACAAATCTGTGAGTGTTTGCTGGGTCAGGGGTGGCATCTACGTAGCTCTAAGTCGATACAAGCAGGTTTCCAAAATGGCGGGACCAACGTACCCTCCCATCAACGATGCCTGAGCGTTCCAGTTGTTTCACGTCCGTGCTAACACTGGGCATTGCTCGTCTTTTTGCTACCAGCTGTTTTGGTGGGTGTGTGCTTTCGTCCATGGTTCTTACAACCCAAGATAATCCGAAGCAGAGTAACTTTAGTCAGTTTTAATTTGAGTACACAAACTGCCTTTCATATTTGTCACATTTGGGAAGATGGTTGAATAAGCACTAGGCATGTTTGCTATTTCCTCCGTTTGTATTGCTTGTGCTCTGCCCCCGTGGGTTAAATGAGTTGTTTCGGTAAGCGTTTAGGGAGAGGGTACTGTGGGAAGTGGTTCCTGAAATCTGTACTCTCAAGAATCAGGCTGTATAGATCAGGCTGAAAATAAACAGCTCAGTTTTCTTCTCCCTCCTTGCACGAGAGAACAAAGAAGACAGGGAAAGGAACAGAGTCTATCCGAAATAGGTTTTACCCACGATCTTCCCCATGTTCCTATTTCTGGAATCCTGGAAAGATGAATGGGAGGATTTTTTTTTTTTTTTTTTTAAATAACAACACTAGGTGCAGAGGAGGAGCCGAAGGTCTGAGATTGTTCAGTTATCACCGGACAGAGCTCAGGCATCATGCTCTCTGGTCCCAGGTGCCCCCCGCCGCCCCGAGGGCCCTCTTCCCATCCCCCACCCTCTCCACTTGCCTCTACTGAGTCCTTGTCACGTTAGATGATAAACACTCACTCCCTCTTCCGGGAAATATTTCAAGTACCTTCTGTGTGGCCAGCACGCATCTAGACCCTGGGATCTCAGCAGTGAGCAAAGCAGAGAAAGTTCTTCCTTCACGGAGTTTACGTTCTAGAGGGAAAAAGCAAAGGTGAAGCATGGTGGGCGTTAATCCTTTGTGTGGCGGTCAGGGGCGGCCTTAGGAGACCTGAACGAGGGGAACGAGCCGAATGTACTTAGGAGTACATTCACCATCTGGGGAATGTACTTCCCAGGCAGGAGGACAGAAGTGGGAGGATCCCCGAGGAAGGTAGAGCTGAACATTCAAGGAGCAGCCAGAATCCCTGTGCCCGAAATTGGAAGAGCAGGGCAGGAGTGGGGGGACAGAGGTGGGGGTTAGCAGGGGGCAACCTTGGACGGTATCCCCTGCGTGGAAGGGAAGCACTGGGGGCTTTGGGCAGGGATGCTCCCTGCAGTCCCTCTGGCTGCTGAAGGGAGTGGTGCCCCCAGCGCCGAGGGGGGCCAGGGCGGTAGAGGCGTTTGCCAGATTAAAGACCGCAGCGTGTGTACACACGGCCCTCCCTGCAGATACCGTCTGCGTGAACTTCCTCATCTTTTCTCTTTAGGGGGCTGGAGGGTACCCATGATTAACGGCTTGCCTTGGGCTCTCCACCTTGTGGAGACTGAGTTGGACCTGGTGGTGGGCTCATTCCTAAGGCCACCGTGTCCTCTCTCCTGGGAGCCTCCTGCTGGTGGAGGGAAACGAAGCATGTCTTCCATTAGCAGCCAGTATCTGGGGACAGGGGTCAGGATGACATGACGTCTGTGACCCCAGAGGCTTTATTAGTCACCTGGCATGTCCTGGGAGCCACTTGCTTGTTAGTGTGTGGGCTAATCCAGGTGGATGGAGCATGTGATGCGGCCCAATTCCTTGATTGGTCCTCAGTAGGGGGAGGGCTTCCTGGACCCTCATGTAATGGGGAGCCCCAGAGCCGTCTGCAGAGTCAAGGGTTTGCTTCCCTTGTACTTGCATCTGAGACTATCCTGAAAGGTGTTTTGTTTAAAAGAAAAATGTGTTTGGAAGTGAAGGCTAGACTGAGGATTAGAAATCTGGTCCGCCAGCTCCCGGGCTGCTGCCTGAGGGGCTACATTATTGTGGGCCTCCTGTGTCAGGTGTTACTGTGGGTCTCCTGTGTCTGTCAGGTGTTCCTGTGGGCCTCCTGTGCCAGGTGTTCCTGTGGGCCTTCTGTG